TCCCAAGGAAAAATGAAAGCAAACAAATTAGAAATAAAACAAATCCTCTCTGTTTCTAAAGTGCATTGCAGCTCTAGGGCAGACATGACTTAGACTTTGCTAATCAGATATGATCCCTTCAAAATGCAGATACAGCAATTACTTACATGGGAAAACAGGCTAGATGTTATCCATGGTCTGATGCACAAGGGATATGGCTATGTGATACCAGAGCTCCCTGTGATGGGAACATAAAGGTGGCTGGCAGCTTCCTGATCTTGGCAGAGGTAGCCCTGCCTTGAGACAAACAGCTCTGGGGTTTGTTTGTGGAGTTGTTCCTAAGCTCAGCCTACAAAATGCATATGCACCTCTCCTAACATTTTGTTGAGTCCTCTAAATGGCTTAATAAGTCATTTTCTTCTTATCAGAGGTTGCTTTTTGTCACAACTGGCACATTGCCCCTAAAAATCCATGTTTTATTCCTCATATACCTGGATATGTGTCAATGATTATTTGGAACCCTTTGGAAACCCACAGATTGGCCAGTGACTTGACCTGTAGCAAGACTTTCCCCCCAGGCACTTATAACAACAGCAATAAAACAAAACATTAGAGAAGATTAAATTGCTTATTAGTAGGAGATAGAGAAGGCAGATTAGTATTTCAAAGTTGGGTTAAACTATACGAGCCATGCGAAAAATAGATGAGCTAAGTAACTGAGAGACTAGAAAGAAAGGAAAATGGAGCCGTGAAATAGTGAGAGGGAAAACCTGCTCTGGAGAGTAGTTTCGACAAATTTCTGATTTCTATCACGGGCAAAGTAAGGCACACTTTGATGGTTCCTGACTTTATTATTACCATTTTAGAAATGTGATTTCTTATTTTTTCCTTACCTCGAACTATCTTGAATGAGTCTCGGAAAAATAATCAATCATAAGAATCTATACTAAAACAAACCATCACAGAAGAGATTTGGGGTGGGGGTACTTCCCCAACTTGCCTGTCTTCCTCCTTCCCTCCCTTCCTTCCTTTATTTCCTTCTTTCTTTCCTTCCTTCCCTTCTTTCTTTTCTTCCTTCCTTCCTTCCTTTCTTCCTTTCTTTTTCCCTCTCTCTCTTCCTTTCACTTTTCTCCCCTTCCCTTTGTTATCTCTAGGTACTCACTAATTTAATATAGACTATGTTTTAATACTAATCTAATTCAAATATTTGTAGCTATGTACTCCTTTGAAAAGTCCTGAACATTATCAAACTCTCACATTTCATTAAGGAGTTTCAAACTAATCAGAGATGCTTGTCTCAATGCCTAATTTATCTAATATTTCAATACCTATGTATTACCCTACTTATCTCTTTCTTATATCTGGAACCACTATAGAGAAACTTATTTTATCCTAGGGGAAACGGTGGATAAAATGAAAGAAAATTAGAAATGACAATAGAGAGAGGGTGTTTTAAAAGTGCAAAGTCAAAGAGAATTCTAAGCTTTGGAGTCAATAGGATTGTCTATATCACATGATGAAGCAGTTATGGAAGTTAGAGAAGAAAGGCTAAGTGCTTTTGTTTCTTTGTTTTGCTTTCTGGTACAACTTTTTACATTTGTTGAAACCATACAATATCCAAATACAAAATGCAAAATAAGTAATTGAATGCATAAAACGGATTACATGAGAGACATCAGAATTAGAGACAGATTAAGAAGTTACTAAAAAAAATGGTGAGATAGCTACTATAAATCAATTTTTGCACTGTGAGAAATCTCATATTCTGCAAATGTGTACACTAAAAATACAGGATGTATGAGAAAATTGTGATTGAGGAAGACCACTTACTGTGTAATTTTGTGATCATAATATTAACAAAATAATGACAATAGTAATAAAAATACAACCACAGTTTAATATTTTCTAGTATTTATCCCCCAAATCATACTGAATCCTTTGCACAGTCTTACACTTAGAATTTACTGTTTTCTCTTTTGAGATGTAGACCCTACAGGGAATTGACTTCTAATGAAGTAGATTATCAGAATTAATTTCTGATACATATTTTTCACTAATCTCTTATTTTAATACTGGGGAATGCCTTAGAGTCTTCTATATTCACAGTTTAGTCAGATATCTTGGTGCAGTAAGAAACATTTTTTAAAACGTTTTGAAGGCACTAAAACACAACTACATGTACTAAAGGGAGGTCCTTTTGCATATTTTCTTTTGTCTTTGTATGATAAAAATTTTCTCTAAAATTTGACAAGGCTTTCCCCTGATTGCTTCAAACCTCAACATGTTGGGAAAAATTACATATAAACCAACACAATTTTTCAAACTTTACTGACATCATTCCATCATTTATTAATTGCTAATAAGGTGATTTGGTACAAAGAAATACACACTGTGGCAGAATAGATTTGGCTTGCATGTTCCATGAAAGAGAATATAAGCAGAAAAGCAGAAGGCCTAGACCTGAAATTTGGAGACCCCCTAAATCTCAATAAAGCTTCTGTGAGTAAAAGCAATCCCAGACACAGGTTAAATGTGATGTCCATGTGAAGACATAGATACCCATAGAGACAGATAAAATAAAGGAGCTTGAAATACTGTGATTAACTCATAGCTATACTCTTTTCAGTCTCACTCTTAACTTTCTTGGTTTAAAAAAAAAAAAAATTCCTATTTCTTTTTCTCTTGCATTCTCACTTTGCTAACCATATTTTCCAAATATTCTCCAATGTTCTTTCCCAGTTATGAACACAGTCTTTGAATCACGAGGTCCCATGTATTCCATTCCAGATATGACTGCCTGGATGGAAAAATCAAAATGCTTTCTGCCCTACATAGCATTTGCCTAAAAATAAAATCTAAATATTTTCCCCCTCCAAGGGATGAGGTAAATCTTAAAAACTAAATGCCTAGCTTCTAACATAAAAGTGCCTTTTAAGATATTTACCTTCACATATGAAAAAAATACCGATCATTCTTTAATAACTTTTCCAAAGTCCCTTCTTAAATTGGGACTTCCCCAATATCCTCACTCAGAAGTCATTCAGGAGATTTTGATCTTCTCCCAGAAATCTCTTTATACCTGTATGATCTCCCTCACCTCTCTGTATTTTGTTTAGTCAATTTGCCTTTTTATTTTATTACTCCTGAACAAAAATCTTTCAGGTAGTGTCCATATAATTTTACTGTGCAGAGTATGGGCCAAGTATTTTGTTTAACCTCTACATACTGATTATTTGTCAAAATAACAAATCTAAAATTTCAATAAATTAATAAAAAGGAGTCAAATTAAAAGCATTCAGTTGATAATATATGTTCACCATTAGGTTTTGTTAGAGAAGTCAAAGACTTTTCTGGTTATCAAGTATCATCTTGCAGATTTTCAATATGATGAAAGTAAATAGTAGCAAATTTAATTACAAAGCTTACATCTGGCAGCCATTCTGAAGAGTTGTATTGCTTTTTTAATTATTCTAGCCTATACACTTAGAAAATTAATATTAAACTTAAAAAATGATCCCATGGAAGGAAATAAAATATTTTATTAATCCTCATAGGTACCTGATATGAATAATTTATAGTTTGGTTTTAAAAGAGCTTCCTCCTTAAATTCTAGATTTTTTAAAAATTATGTAAGATGAAAAGTTAACTGATAATACATACACAGAGATATAAATTAGCCCATAATCCTCTCATTCTTATACAACGGGGTTCATGCTGTTGTTGTGTGCGTGTGTGTGTGCATGGATGTGTGTGTACACGTCTAAATGTACTTTCTTTCCTATTTTAATACTGGCTTTACCATTGTTTTAAACATTCTCTTTGTCTTAAATGATCCATGGAAAGTTTTAGACTTGAGTAATCGGGCCCTCTCTGAGCCCCAGAGAACAAGAAATTATCTAGTACAACCAGTATTTCGGTAACTCTAGTTTACTGACATTTTCCACCATAAACAGTAAATCCAAGATTTAGGCCTCAGGGAAAACATTATCAAGTCCATCTCATTAGACTTTCTTAAGAAGACTCAGAAGAAAAAATCATTAGAAAGAAATGAAAATACAATAGAATCATAAGGAAGACACTTAAAACTTTTCTTGTTTTCCTTTTTTCTATACGTCATTTTGCACATTTGATAAACCATTTTAATGTCATGATCAGAGTACAAATGCTGAATCTTGATACCAAGGCATTTGTATAGTCTATTTTTTAATCTGGGCATCAAGGTGGAAATGATATAGGAATAATGTATCTCATCTGTATTTGAAATGTCTCAAAAAATTGGAGGAAAGAAGGGAGGGAGGGAGGGAGGGAGGAAGGAAGGGGAATAAAGGAGACTAGAAATGGCTAAAGCAGTTGATTTGGGATTTAAAATCCACCTTAGTGGGATTGATAAAAGAAGATGTATCTTTAATTAATCATGGTTTAAAAGTTCTAAATAACTAATTTCATTCAAGGAAAAAAAAATAAAAAGGTGGAAATACAAATGTGATGGAGAAATTTTAGAAAATAAAGTAGTTATGTAACAGGGTAGACAAAATGTCAAAAGGAGGAAAAATCATACAGCATTTTATAGGAACCTTACATTTTAAAGGCTGTAAGGAAAGCGGTTACAGCTTATTTATTTCAAATCTACATCACTCTAAGATTACCTCACATAAATTTTTCATTCTAGATTGACTTTTCCTAACATAAGGTCCATTTCTAACTAGCTCTCTTCTTCAGTGCCTGTGATGTCATTTGGTAGACAAATACATTTATAAAATAAAAATAAATTTTTAACATTGCCCAAGCAAAATATAATTAGAAGGGAAAATGACCTGGAGATGTATGAACTAATAACGTTATCAAATAGATGTTAAAGTAGGGATTATATACTCAAGTTTTAACCTTATAGTTCCTCTCCATTAGTACTTAACTAAAGGACATATTTGCATGTGATCATACCCCAGAGCTTATGGCAAATCAATATGTTTGTTTCTGTATATTCTTTGACTTGTATGAAATTTTCCTGAAATATGTCTTACCTCATTTTGGAGATCTCGGATCATTTTGTTCTTTCTCTCCATTTCAGTCTTTAAAAAAGCAATCTGAAAATAAATAGAATATCATGTAGACATATTTCAAATTCATTTCTATAGCTTTTATAAATTTATTTTCACAATTTTTGAAGTATAATAAAATTATCTCTTTGTCAACAAATACTGAAAAAGAACAAAGGGTTAAAATTTTCATTATCCACATTTTTATTGCCAAATTCATAAATATATCAACTAGTTATATCACATAACTTTTTCATATGTAATAAAAGATTATTATTTTTTTTTAAATTTAGTCTGTTTCTGTTTTGTAAATAAGTTCATCTTGGGGGGCAGGGATAGTTAGGGAGTTTGGGATTGACTGTGCACACTGCTATACGTAAAATAAATAACCAACAAGGACCCACTGTATAAAAAAAAAAAATGAAGAGGGGACAAGAGAATGATATGCTTGAGATGAGATTTGTCATGTGTTGTTAATTCTTGAATCTAATTGATGGATTCATGGGGATGTATTACACTACTACTTCCACTTTTGTGTAAGTTTGAAATTCTCCATAATTAAAAGGTTTAAAAAAATTTTTTTTAATTGAGAAATGCATGTTATGACTGTGATTCGCCTACTTGTCTAAACTTCAATTTTTAAAAATGTGGTTCTTAAACAAAGCTAAATTCTAGGGTTGGGCCTAGGAATCTCTTTTCTAAAAACATGCTCCACGTAATTTTTATATAAGGCCAGGTTTGAGAGCAATTGCATAGTGATGCTCCTGACCTCAAAAGCATGGAACGTTATAACTGTACCAGAGAAACCATGATGTTTCCTGCTGAATATGATATTGTCAGAATCTGTACCCTTAGGCCAGATATTCAAACTGTATCTGTATAAACATTGCATCTTTATCTGCCTGACTGCTTTGAAAAAGGTCAGTATAGCACAGTAGCTAAAATATGAGACACTATGGTCACTGAGGGTTCACTATTTATGTGAATGTATGACAGATGAAACATTTAATTTCTCCAATTTTCAATTTTCTGCCGGTCACATTTTTTTAAAAAGTAAAAGGAACAGGTAAAATTAATTTTACTGATATATTTTATTTAATTCAATATATTCAAAATAGTATCATTTGACATGTAATGGATTAATAATGATAAATTGACTTTTTTTTTGCAATATATCTTTAGAATCCACTGTGTGTTTTACACGTACAGCATATCTCAATTTGGACTAGCCATTTTATAATGCTCAAAAGCCTCATGTATCTTGTGGTTATATATTGAATAACATAGTCTTAGAGGATTCCTGGAATGATGCAAAAGAGACTGGCAATGTGGGTTATCTCTAGAGATAGATTAAGTCAGTAGAAATCAAATTTAGGAGTAAAGTTAATTTTTACCATATATATACACATTAAAAAAATAGTTCTGAAACCTTTCAAACATAAACAAAAGAACAAGAGTAATACTATGTAAAATGCTTCTGGGCCCACCCTAAGGATAAATATATATAAATGCTTTGTCCAATTTTCTTCAGACCTTGTAAACAAAATGTTATAGTACTATTAAAGCCCCACCTAATTTTTCTCCCTCCCCTCCCCCCAGAGGTAACCACTATCCTGGATTTGACATGTAATAGTCTTGTTCACTTTCTGTACATTATACTTGTTGTGCGCCTGTAAAGCTTTACAATACATATTAACACCTTGTCTTTTCTGGCTTGTGTAGGTGTCCTTGTATTACCATTTCCTCAAAAGGTAACAAAACCTAAACCTAACAATTTTTGATGGTCCAACTACATGTTGAAGCAGAAGCAGAAGCCTGAGAACCACTATGTCCATCATTTTGGTCATAACAATTTTCAAGCTTACATTTGAATTATGAATATCCTCGGAGCAACCTGAAAATTTGAGTCATACTCATTGTCCCATTAAGGAGATAGTTCAATTTAGTAATTAGATATATAATCAAGGGCAGCACATAAGAGTATCTGCTCTTAAATCTAAAATAGCACAATATTTACAGAATCAAATCTAAATGTTTTCCCTCTGTTTGAGAGTGAGCAATTACAATTATTTCATTCTCCCCTTCTTATCCAACTTTCAACTACATCAACTATAGTCTTCCTAGCAGAAAGAGTAATTGTTGAATGATTTGCAACAATTAAAATATATACTTATTTAATCCTTAGTTAACCTAGAATCCTCAAATAGGGAAAAAAAGGCACAAACAGTTTGAGTCTTTACCAAAGTTTGGAAGTGATGAGTCCCAGTACTATGAAATCTATCTTTTCCTAGATTCCACCAGATGCACATTAAAAAAAAATCATGCTTTTACTAAATATATGTTATTCCCATATTTGTTAAGCTTTCTGTCATCTCTTTCTGGACTTTGACTTAGAAAATATCAGTCATTCAACTCAAAACATAAACACATTCCCTCCAAAAGATAAGTATTATTTATTTCCGCAGGTATTTGCATTTATTGATCATGATGATATATTTTGTTAATATAGTCTTGAATTTGTTCTTATAGACCTTTTACATGTACATTCGTTAGTAGAAAAATAGCTATTAGTTTACACATACAGCCATTAGTTGATTTTGGAATCATAACTGATGAAGTTTGCAAAATGAGATGAAAGTTTTCAATTTTTTTCTATTTTCCAGAAAATATTTGCCTATATTTGAAGTCAACTGATCTTTAAAAATTAGTAGAAGTCACCATGAAAACCTTCTGGCTTTGAAATACTTGGGAAAGGAGGTCTTTTAGCATAATAAAATTCCAACTGTGTTCAGCTATTCAATTGCTGAATTTCTTCTCGCAGAAGTTTTAGCATTTTATATTTATTTATCTAGAAATTTACATATACATTTTTAAATGTATCAGGGAACTGTTGCTCATAATACGTTATTTGTTTGAATTCCTATTACAATTATGACTCTTAGCTCTTTTTTTTTTTTTTTTTTTTTTGCGGTAAGCGGGCCTCTCACTGTTGTGTCCTCTCCCGTTGTGGAGCACAGGCTCCTGACGCGCAGGCTCAGCGGCCATGGCTCACGGGCCTAGCCGCTCCGCAGCATGTGGGATCTTCCCGGACCAGGGCACGAACCCGTGTCCCCTGCATCGGCAGGCGGACTCCCAACCACTGTGCCACCAGGGAAGCCCTTAGCTCTTTTTTTAATTCAACATTTTAAAATTTGAGTCTGTCTTTCTATTCTTAATCTTTCTCATATCTTAAAGTCTTTTATCATAGTCTTTTTAAATAACTTAAATTTACCTTTTTTTGTTTTCTATTTTATTATTGTCTTCACTAGTCTTTAAAATACGCTCTTTATTGCACTGATGTTTTGCTTTTTAAATAACTTCTTGAATTTATGTTGCTAATCTTTTATTTTCTGAAAAAATGCATTTAAAGCTATCAATTCACCTCAATTATTATATTGGCATATAGTGTCTTCACTATTATTAAGTATTTCTTTATTTCTTTTATTATTTCTTATTAACCGAAGGGTTATTAGAAAATGTATTATATATTTTCCAAACATAAAGAATTGTTTAACCATTTATAAAAAGTTATTTTAAATTTTATAACAAAAGGATTGAATAACATAGTATATATGCTAGTCATATTTTTGAACGTATATAACTTTTTGTATTATACATATTATATTTCTATAAAATTTCTATAGATATTCTGCATGTACTTAAAAAGAATATAGTCACTTTTTTAGAGATTTCTATATATATCTAATATTTATTACTACAAGTTGTATTTTTAAGATCTTTGTATTTGCCTATTTCTCCCTTCACTTATAGATTGATGGATATGGAAGCTGATTTGTTAAGTACATTTATGTTTATGATGGTTATAACTATAACCACCTCATTTTATTTATTTATTTTTCTTTGCTAGCATATAATGCTCTCTCTTACATTATATCTGTGCTTTAAATTCTATTTGCCAGCATTAATATTGCTGTCAATCATTTACTTCTTTTATGTTGTTTTGCATATATTTTCCTGTATTGCTTACTTTAAGTATGTGGTCTTCTCAGTTGTTAAAATTAGCACATTTGCATATATTGTCCTAATTTCTTAATTGCAGTTATTCTGTGTCTTTTAAAAATTATTATTAAAATTAACCCATTTAAATTATCGTTATTTCTAATACATTGAAACTTCTGCCAACAGTAATTCTTTTGCCTACATTTTTCTTTCAATTGGATAATTTATTTATTTTATTTTTTTCTTTCTATTGAGTAGATCAAATTTAGTTTAGATTCTAGTATCTACTATATGCCAGATATAATTTTAGGGAAATTATGTATGTTATTTTAATTTTAATTATTCCCCAAATTCTTCAAATAAGGAAACCTGCAGAAGTTAAAGAGCTTACTCAAATTTACAGATAGTAGATTGTCCACTAGGAATTTAAACCCAGAATATTCTTATTCTGTAGCACATGTTAGGTTATGAATACCTATAGGGTGTTCCTGGTTTAGTAGAGTATTTTGGGGTGCGAGAGGAAAATCCTCCCTCAAGATTCAATGCTGAACTTTAAGAAAAGCACTGCAAGGATTCTGAGGTGAGGATAAAGCTGACTCGGCCAGTCCTGTCTCCTCCTTCTTCCCAACTATGCATCCTTTGTCCCCACTTTTGCCATACTTGACTCTTCTAACTTTTGTTGAGCTCTTTCAAATGTTAGAGCTTTCTTCTTTTGGGATGTTAGACACACTGTGCATAACATATTGGAATAAACACAGGTTCATGCCTTGGCTTCTCCAAATGCTAGATGTGTAAATACAAGCAAGAGTTATTCATTTTCAGAAAAAAAAAACAAACAAAAAAAACAACAACAGTAGTGTGCAGTTTTATTGTGAGAATCTGAGAAAACAGTATTGTGAATATTTCTATTCTGTTCTGTCATTATTTGTGACTGGGCTATGAAGAAGTTGAGATTAAATGCGATAGATCAAGAAAGAAATGGGATTGCAATTAGGGTTGCTCCTTATGCTGGGTCAGATTCTGAGGGGAGGAATCAACATGATAGTGCTAAAAATATGTCTGTTCTTTTATGTAACACCTGCTGTCCAAAGAGCCAGACACTAGAACACCTTGTACGTTAGCAGTGAGTGTTGCCATGGCATAACAGAGAAGAACAAAGATGCTCATCCTTACAGGTGGGCTGGACAGATAACAGTTTATTAACAAGAAATAATCCTGCACCCAGAAGAATCAACAGCCATTATTACAAAGACTGTCTCCAAGAAGCAGGTACCCCAGATGACAGACAGGGCTAAGTTTCAGAAGCGAAACTTTATACCCTAATCCAGATTATTCAAGGAAGACTTGCAAAAGAAAGACAGGATGACAATTCTTAAAGGAGCTGGGATCCCAGGTAATCAACCTGGATGAAGACCTTGTATTAGTCCAGTTTCTAGCTTCTGTAAACTTGATGCTTTAACATCTACCTTACACATATACGCAGACTAGCCTTGTTATGGACAACCCAGTAATATGCTTGCATCATCCTATCTTGACCTCCTGCCTTCCTCATCGCTGCTCCTTCCCCACCCACTCCTCCTGGTGGTAAGCTTTTCAAATACACACTAACCAATACAGAGCCTAGAACTCCAGCCACCCCTTGTACTGAGTTCTCACACTTCAGGCGACTGTCCACCTGCCTTAATCACCCCAGGGCCGGATACCAGAAAAATAGTCCCTGTGCCCCAGAGCTGCTGAAATAATTCAAATGGGCCAATCCTAGGCCTGCTTACCCTGCCTAGCCCATTCCTTCCCACAGAAACCACAGTAAAGGCTCTTGTGCACAGTTTCCCCACCTTCCTTTGCCTTGTGCCTGACCTGGTGCTTGCCTGCGTGGTCCCCGGTCATGTGGCATGCCCCCCTCTTGGGAACTGTGAGAAATAAACTATCTTTCCAAAGGTAATTGTTTCCTGATCTATTGGTCTTACTATACCTCAAATTTTCTATTAATATACTATATTTTGAAATAGATTCAGGTCCTCGAACAAGATAAAAGGTTCAATCTCCATAAATGGTACATAAGTGCATGTGGGGAATGAGGTAGAAATCTAGTTTTTAGCACTATTATCCAGAACACTATCTGTCCTGCCCGTGGTGAATATCAGTTATAAGAACTGAAACGTGAGGGTCAATAGAACATCATTTTGAGAGAGAAATTCTGGAGAGAAGTTTGATTCTTAAACTTTGGGGTGTCTCAGAATCACCTGTGTAGTTGATTAAGTAGGCAGATGGTGTGGCTCCACCCTTGGGAGATGTCTATTCAGTGGATGCAGGGTATGGCTTAGGGATCTGTATAGTTTAACTTAGTTCAAGGTCACACCCCAAAATTCAAGAGCCACTGATAGGGGGCCCGACACCAACACTCTTGCCCTGAGTTTTTCATCCATAAATAAGGGTTAGGAATCAGAAGACCCCTAAAAATCAAATACAACGAAAATATTTTTTTGAAATGATTGCTGCTAAGTATTTTTGTAATCTTGTTGATTGTGTTGTTTTCATTATACTTTCATTTATATTTGTCACAGGTGTATTTGTTCCATAATGATTTTAGGGAAAAAAGTTAACAATTTTCCAGGCCCAAAGCAAAGGACACAGAAGAGAAACACTTACAGTAGCCTGCTGTTTTTCTGCTTTCTCAGTTGTCTCTTTAAGCTGATTTTCCAGGGCCTCCTGGAGAGACTTCATTTGTTCTCTGTTTAGTAGAAAATAGAGAGCAAAAGAGAGACATCATATAAATCTCTTATTTCCTATTTACACGATGAAAGGAGGTTTTGCTGTATATATACATTTAGGAAACATAACTAGAATATATAGAGCCACGGTTAAACATACAAGATGTATCTCAGGACTCTGGTAATAAAGAGTCTTCTCTCCCATGCAAGCACTAAAAGCAAGCTGTATTTACGGGAAATTGCCTTACTATTGTGTCTTATAAGAATCCTACTGTGTGAATCATCTGTGAGCTGCATAATGTGTTAAATCAAATCGATATAATAATTAGAGTTAGAAAGCTAATTTTAGTGACAGCATGCGAGGGTGTGAACATGCTGTTTAGAAAAAAAGTTAACATAGATTTGCTGATGGGATAAAATTATCATTCCCTTGGATGCTCCACATTAACTAATTCTAAAGCACTGTGTTTTAGACATCCTGTATGAGGTCTGAGACTTTTTGTAAAAACAAAGAGAAAAAAGACGTATATTTAATGCAAAAGCTGCCTCATTTATTGGAGATAATAAAAAATACACCTGCACATATATACATATTGTGTCTCAAGTTCAGTAGGACATAAGGACCCTGTCTCACATTAAAAATATAAATATTTTCATAAATATGAATTCCTCTCAAGGGTTTAGGATTTTCTCAATTATGACAAATTTTATTATATTACTGTGCCTTCATTTTATCACCTAAGCTATCACTTCAAAAAGTTCAGATAGGAGAGAGGGGGAAGATGGCGGAAGAGTAAGACGTGGAGATCACCTTCCTCCCCACAGATACACCAGAAATACATCTACACGTGGAACAACTCCTACAGAACACCTACTGAATGCTGGCAGAAGACCTCAGACCTCCCAAAAGGCAAGAAACTCCCCACGTACCTGGGTAGGGCAAAAGAAAAAAGGAAAAACAGAGACAAAAGGATAAGGACGGGACCTGCACCAGTGGAAGGGAGCTGTGAAGGAGGAAACGTTTCCACACACTAGGAAGCCCCTTTGAGGGCGGAGACTGTGGGTGGTGGAGTGGGGGAGCTTCGGGGCCGTGGAGGAGAGCGCAGCAACAGGGTTGCGGCGGGCAAAGTGGAGTGATTCCCGCACAGAGGATCGGTGCCGACCAGCACTCACCAGCCTGAGAGACTTGTCTGCTCACCCGCCGGGGCAGGCGGGTCTGGGAGCTGAGGCTTGGGCTTCAGTCGGAGCGCAGGGATAGGACTGGGGTTGGCGGCGTGAACACAGTCTGTGGAGGTTAGTGCACCACGGCTAGCCGGGAGGGAGACTGGGAAAAAGTCTGGACCTGCCGAAGAGGCAAGAGACTTAGCACTTCCCTCTTTGTTTCCTGGTGCGCGAGGAGAGGGGATTAAGAGCGCTGCTTAAAGGAGCTCCAGAGACAGGCTCGAGCTGCCGCTAACAGCGCGGACGCCAGAGACGGGCATGAGACGATAAGGCTGCTGCTGCCACCACCAAGAAGCCTGTGTGCGAGCACAGGTCACTCTCCACACCGGCCCTCCTGGGAGCCTGTGCAGCCCGCCACTGCCAGGGTCCCGGGATCCAGGGACAACTTCCCCAGGAGAACGCACGGAGCACCTCAGGCTCGTGCAACGTCATGCAGGTCTCTGCCGCCGCAGGCCCACCCCGCACTCCGTGCCCCTCCCTCTCCCCAGCCTGAGTGAGCCAGAGACCCAGAATCAGCGGCTACTTTAACCCCGTCCTGTCTGAGCGAAGAAGAGGCGACCTACACGCAGAGGCGGGGCCAAATCCAAAGCTGAACACCGGGAGCTGTGCGAACAAAGAAGAGAAAGGGAAATCTCTCCCAGCAGCCTCAGGAGCAGCGGATTGAATCTACACAATCAACTTGATGTACCCTGCATCTGTGGAATACCTGAATAGACAACGAATCATCCCAAATTGAGGAGGTGGACTTTGAGAGCAAGATTTATTATTTTTTCCCCTTCTTCTCTTTTTGTGAGTGCGTATGTGTATGCTTCTGTGTGAGTTTTGTCTGTATAGCTTTGCTTTCACCATTTGTCCTAGGGTTCTATCCATCCATTTTTTGTTATAACGATTTAACAAATTTTTTTCTTAATAATTATTTTTTTATTTTAATAACTTTATTTTATTTTATCTTAATTTATTTTATTTTATCCTCTTTCTTCCTTTCTTTTTACTTTTTCTCCCTTTCATTCTGAGCCCTGTGGATGAAAGACTCTTGGTGTTACAGCCAGGAGTCAGTGCTGTGCCTCTGAGGTTGGAGAGTCAACTTCAGGACACTGGTGCACAAGGGACCTCCCAGCTCCATGTAATATCAAACGGGGAAAATCTCCCAAAGATCTCCATCTCAACACCAACACCCAGCTTCACTCAATGACCAGCAAGCTACAGAGCTGGACACCATATGCCAAACAACTAGCAAGACAGGAACACAACCCCACCCATCAGCAGAGAGGCTCCCTAAAATCATAATAAGTCCACAGACACCCCAAAACACACCACCAGACGTGGACCTGCCCACCAGAAAGACAAGATCCAGCCTCATCCACCAGAACACAGGCACTAGTCCCCTCCACCAGGAAGACTACACAACACACTGAACCAACCTTAGCCACTGGGGACAAACACCAAAAACAACAGGAACTACAAACCTGCAGCCTGCAAAAAGGAGACCCCAAACACAGTAAGATAAGCAAAATGAGAAGACAGAAAAACACACAGCATATGAAGGAGCAAGATAAAAACCCACCAGATGTAACAAATAAATAGGAAATAGGCAGTCTACCTGAAAAAGAATTCAGAATAATGATAGTAAAGATGATCCAAAATCTTGGAAATAGAATAGACAAAATGCAAGAAACATTTAACAAGGACCTAGAAGAACTAAAGATGAAACAAGCGAGGATGAACAACACAATAAATGAAATTAAAAATACTCTAGAAGGGATCAATAGCAGAATAATTGAGGCAGAAGAATGGATGAGTGACCTGCAAGATAAAATAGTGGAAATAACTACTGCAGAGCAGAACAAAGAAAAAAACAATGAAAAGAATTGAGGACAGTCTCAGAGACACCTGGGACAACATTAAACGTACCAGCATTCGAATTATACGGGTTCCAGAAGAAGAAGAGAAAAAGAAAGGGACTGAGAAAATATATGAAGAGATTATAGTTGAAAACTTCCCTAATATGGGAAAGGAAATAGTTAATCAAGCCCAAGAAGCACAGAGAGTCCCATACAGGATAAATCCAAGGAGAAATATGCCAAGACACATATTAATCAAACTGTCAAAAATTAAATACAAAGAAAACATATTAAAAGCAGCAAGGGAAAAACAACAAATAACAAACAAGGGAATCCCCATAAGGTTAACAGCTGATCTTTCAGCAGAAACTCTGAAAACCAGAAGGGAGTGGCAGGACATATGTAAAGTGATGAAGGAGAAAAACCTACAACCAAGATTACTCTACCCAGCAAGGATCTCATTCAGATTTGATGGAGAAATTAAAACCTTTACAGACAAGCAAAAGCTGAGAGACTTCAGCACCACCAAACCAGCTTTACAACAAATGCTAAAGGAACTTCTCTAGACAAGAAACACAAGAGAAGGAAAAGACCTATAATAACAAACCCAAAACAATTAAGAAAATGGGAATAGGAACATACATATTGATAATTACCTTAAATGTAAATGGACTAAATGCTTCCACCAAAAGACACAGATTGGCTGAATGGATACAAAAACAAGACCCATATATATGCTGTCTACAAGAGACCCATTTCAGACCTAGAGACACATACAGACTGAAAGTAAGGGAATGGAAAAAGATATTCCATGAAAATGGACACCAAAAGAAAGCTGGAGTAGCAACTCTCATATCAGACAAGATAGACTTTAAAATAAAGACTATTAGAAGAGACAAAGAGGGACTCTACATAATGATCAAGAGATCAATCCAAGAAGAAGATATAACAATTGTAAATATTTATGCACCTAACATAGGAGCACCTCAGTACATAAGGCAAATACTAACAGCCATAAAAGGGGAAATCGACAGTAACCCATTCATAGTAGGGGACTTAACACCCCACTTTCACCCATGGACAGATCATCCAAAATGAAAGTAAATAAGGAGACACAAGCTTTAAATGATACATTAAACAAGATGGACTTAATTGATATTTATAGAACATTCCATCCAAAAACAACAGAATACACATTTTTCTCAAGTGCTCATGGAACATTCTCCACGATAGATCATATCTTGGGTCATAAATCAAGCCTTGGTAAATTTAAGAAAATTGAAACAGTATCAAGGATGTTTTCCGACCACAACACTATGAGAATAGATATCAATTACAGGAAAAGACCTGTAAAAAATACAAACAAATGGAAGCTAAACAGTACACTACTTAATAATGAAGTGATCACTGAAGATATCAAAGAGGAAATCAAAAAATACCTGGAAACAAATGACAATGGAGACACGACGACCCAAAACATGGGATGCAGCAAAAGCAGTTCTAAGAGGGAAGTTTATAGCAATACAATCCTACCTTAAGAAACAGGAAACATCTCGAATAAAAAACCTAACCTTGCACCTAAAGCAATTAGAGAAAGAAGAACAAAAAAACCCCAAAGTTAGCAGAAGGAAAGAAATCATAAAAATCAGATCAGAAATAAATGAAAAAGAAATGAAGGAAATGATAGCAAAGATCAATAACACTAAAAGCTGGTTCTTTAAGACGATAAACAAAATTGACAAACCATTAGCCAGACTCTCAAGAAAAATAGGGAGAAGACTCAAATCAATAGAATTAGAAATGAAAAAGGAGAAGTAACAACTGACACTGCAGAATACAAAAGATCATGAGAGACTACTACAAGCAACTCTATGCCAATAAAAAGGACAATCTGGAAGAAATGGACAAATTCTTAGAAATGCACAACCTGCCAAGACTGAATCAGGAAGAAATAGAAA